GGATCATTCTGATATCATAATTGAATCCATATATATGACTTAATTTGTCTTGTTGGTTACAATAATACATAAATATTTGGTCTGAATCCTAATTTTATATAAATTTACTGAGTAGTTTTTGATGTCCTTATAAAGAGGAAACTTCAAATTATATTTGAATGTTGAGATTTCCCAGCTGAAAAGAAACAAACTTTGGTAGCTCACAGAGAATATCTTAAAAATTTAAGGCGTTTTTTCTCAAAATCAGGTTTTTTGTTGCTACTGCTCAAAAAAAATGCTTCAAAAATACGTTTTATGATTATATTTCAGACAGTTCATTCAAACGATACATTGATAAGGCATTTATTCATTATGTTTTGACAAAATGCATTTTTTGTTAACATGTTAGTCAAAACACTATATTTGCCTTTTTCTCCATACACCACTTTTGGACTTAATCCTCGTTTCGATGTGATGGGTCACATTTTTGTTTTTTTAAAGCATTTTAAGTTTATGCGCAGGTCTTTACTAATTTAGATGTTTACTACAGAGATAAGATGATCTAAGCAACATTTTCACCCTGATTTTGCTTCCAGGGGAAGTTCTGCTGACTCCGACAAAGATCTACAGTGGCCTGCTCCTGCCCATCCTGCGCAGCGGCGCCATCAAAGCCTACGCACACATCACAGGAGGGGGGCTCCTGGAGAACATCCCCCGGGTACTGCCCCAGGAGCTGGCTGTGGATTTAGGTGAGATGAAAGTTGTTRATTTTTAAATTAATTTCAACGTAAAGCCTAAAAATGTTGACATCAGCAGTCTGGAAMTGGGGGATTTGCTTTTAGATGATGAATTATTCATCAGAAGCGACTAAATTAAGATTTAGTGATGCAATTTTAAGTTTAGTTTTTGTCTCACACACACAGCTGGTATAGTTAGCAGTGGTTGTTGATGAGCTGTTGGTATTTTCACTCAGATGCGTCCCAGTGGAGCATCCCTCCAGTGTTTTCCTGGCTGTATAAAGAAGGGGGTCTGAGTGAGGAGGAGATGTGCCGCACCTTCAACTGCGGCCTCGGTGCGGTGCTGGTGGTGGCCCCYGTCGATGCTCAGAGGGTCCTGCGTCAGCTTCAGGTCCACGAGGAGGCCTGGACCGTTGGATCACTGGCTCACAAACATCTTGGTGAGACAAAGKAGTGCTTCTGTTTTGACATTTCTGCATTCAGATTTCTACATCAACTATTAACAAAACGTGTTTGTGTTGGTGCAGGAGCAGCATCCGTGGTGGTCCGTAACCTAAAACAAAGTCTGCTGAATGTTGAAGCAGCTTCTAGTGAGGTGTCCAGAGCAGTCAGTGCTGGTTGCCACGAGGACAGCATCACACCACGCAAGAGGACAAGAGTTGGAGTTCTCATCTCTGGAACAGGTGTGCTGTAACCTGTAATCAGTGATGAACTGGATCATTACCTTCAGGGGTTTGCTGTTTTTTTTTAACATTTTGTCTCTCAGGCACCAACCTGCAGGCTCTGATCGAGCAGGCCAAGCGCTCGTCCAGCTCAGCAGAGATTGTGGTGGTCATCTCCAACAGACCTGGGGTTCAGGGTCTGAAGAGGGCCTCGTTGGCTGGCATCCAGACACGAGTGAGTACTGTGGTGGAAGCAGAGTTGTAAAGTAACGAAGTACAAATACTTTGTTACTGTACTTAAGAAGAAATTTTGGGTATATGTACTTTACTTGAG